CAAAGGAATATTAGTGGAGAATTCTGGCTGGGGTGGCATCAATTTGCAGGGAGGAGAAATCATTCAGCTAGTCAGGATTTGGGTTGTCTAAATATTACATGTAAAAATCATAATTTTAATTGCTGAATATAAAATATTAAACTGTAACATAAAATAATTGCGCTTTAAATGCAAAAAAAGAGTTTGTTTTTTTTTGCCTCGTAGTTTAAATTGGGGAGTTTTGATCACAGTTACTTACCCCTCACTTTGTACGTTGCTCACTGCAGAGTTTGACATAAATACAGCCACCTTATTTAGATCTGAGGGATGACTGGGCTGTAGCGTGTAACTACCTGCACAGGAAAAGATGCATTTTTTCCTGCTCCATCAAAGCAAATAAGATGTAATGTTTAAAAAGTGATGCTGGCCTAGAAATAAGTGTTGGGTTTTTTTAGATTTTATTTTTTTGGTCTTTTTAAATTTTATTTTTTGGGCGTTTTAAAATTTTATTTTTTAATGGTGAATTTTCCTTACTGAGGAAAGTTTTATTATTTGACATGAGTGATCTAGTGTACTGAAACTAATAAGCCTAAATTAGACTGGCATGAAATAACATAGAGGGTGGAAAATGTACGCTGAAGTGTCTCAACAAATTTGTGAAGGGCTGTATCTGTTCAGCTGCAGAATGTTCCTCTTTCGCGTGCTTACTGTGGCTCTTACCACTTAAGTTTTCATTCTATTGGTTTTGCACATAGGCCAGGCAGAAAGAACACACACAGCCTGAGCCGCCTGCTGAGACACCCTCTACCCACTCTCCGAGTGGGGTTCAAGAGACTAAACAAAACACAGTGCCCTAGAAATTATTTGAAAAGACGTGAAATAACTCTTTCACTGTGGTGCTGGTTTAGTGGTGGGCTTGTCAGTGTTAGGTTAATGATTGGACTAGATGATCTTACAGGTCTCTTCCAATCTAGGAGATTCTGTGATTTTAATTCAGTTTTCAATTGTCTACAGTAGTATTTAAGCCCTTGATTAAAATCAAGGAAATGCTTAAGTGTTTCACTGTCTTGGGGCTCAAGTTCATGGTAGTTTTTTCAAAGTCTTAGGGCAGCTGTGAAAATCCAGGAGGTAGCTCTCTGGGGTATGTTATCAGGGTCTTCTTTGGTGAGGATCTTGTCCCTGGGCTCGTTACAAAACCCTGCCCCATCACTTTCTTTTCTACTTTTTATCTATGGCAGTCTACATATCTTTTCTTTACCTCAGTGTAAAAACCAAGAGAAGTTCTTAACTGCCAGCTACCGGGAGATTATTTTTGTTAGCACTTGGAAACAGACGATTGAGTCATTGGTACAATGTCTTTACACTTTTATAAATCTCTCTTTTAAACTTGTGTGTGTGAACTTTTCAGCTACCTGTGAGATTTAAAATTACTGTTACAGCCCATTTCTCTGGTTGCGCGTGCTGCCGTGCCTTACCAACCAGCTGATGCCTGCCGCGCAGCCGACAACCCGCCCGTACAGCTCTCGGTGGCTGCTGCCCACTGCCTGCACTCTCGCAATGGAAGACCAGCAAATACTATAAATCCCAGACTGCAGAAGGAAAAGAAAATTTCAGAATCCCTTTAAGGAGAGTTCCCTGTATATAATGACCATGGCCTGAAACAGTGTGCGTCAGCTTCATCAACAGGTCCGCTGAGTGAGTGATCTGGACTTTTGCCGTCTCTGTTTGTAATACTTTGCATCAGATGTGTAGATGATTTTAAAAAAAAAAAAAAAAAAAAAAAAAAAAAAAACCAAACTTGGTGTGAATTCAAAGTTGGCTGCATAAATCTTTCCATATAAACTTATTAAATATTTGTTGGTATTGAGTTTCTTAAAGTGATAACTTGACTACCAGGTCTGAAACTTGTACCAGGAGGATCGAATATCGCAGCTGCACTGAACCTGATTGATTTCAGTTGGGTTCTGCATGGGTGCTCGAGTCCACCTGCGCAGAATAAAGAATAAATTTCGAAAAAGATTCCATTTTGCAGCATGTCGGTCGATTAAAGAGCTGCTCGGCCCCATGTTTTCCTAGGTAGAGGTAGAGCAGCATAACGAAGACAGTGTTACTGTCAGTACTCGCACACTCACCGATTCAGAGGGACATAGCCGCTGTGTAACAGGAAGGTGCAGAATCCAATTACAGCTTTTAATGTTTGGGTTTACTGATTAGTTTTGCCATTTCAAATGTTATATATGCAGTTCATGTTTGCTTATCTTTAGTTGTTACTTGCTAAATTTTAAATTGTATAAGAAGTGGAGATGGCTTTGTAGGTTGTGGGGTTGGTTTTTTTTTTTAACAAAATTTCATACCTGTCTACAACCAAATGAAATGGAAAGAAGGGATTAATTTGAACTTCATGGGATTTTAATGATTTTTTTCCCTGCTATGAATTGTTTTTGCTCCCTGTAGTCTCTGTCCTTTATTGCATTAGTGCTGCGGTATAGCATTGACGGGGAATACTGTTTTATAAACTACGGTGTCTCAGTGCTGCTGTTATTCATCATTTAATACAGCCTAATTGATGCTATTACACACCATTCCAAAATTAAAAATAAACATTTCTGCTTTAGCTGGGTGAAGGTCACTTCATCTTTAGTGAGCATGGAAAGCCAAATAAATATTTAATCCATACCTTTATAAAAGGGTACCTTTTGTATGTGAAGGACTCAAGGATTAGGACTAAAGACTAAAATAACTGCAAGAGTTTTAGGCTGCAAAGTGCTTCACAGGTATATCCTTCTTCATTATATACTATGTTTTAAAAAATTACAAGTCAATTGTTTTAAGCTCATTGGCTTTAAAATTTGCATTTATTTTGGCAACTAGATGCAAATTATTTCTGCAGAATGTGGCTTTAAATGTTACCTCTGGAGTGCTGTAAGTAAAAAGTGCCTTCCCCTTTCTCCTCACTGTTTGATGGAATACGGACTTTTCTCAAATATTTAGGGGTTGTTTTAATTCTGCAATTAACAAGCTACTTCCATATGGAAAGTCACAGTAACATTTTAATACTGCTCCCAGAGTCACTAGCAGTTGGGAAATTACTAGGGAAATAAAGAACACCCAGGGAACTACAGGCCAGTCAGTCTCACCTCTGTGCCTGGCAAAATCATGGAGCAGATCCTCCTGGAAACTCTGCTAAGGCACACAGAAAACAAGGAGGTGATTGGTGACAGCCAGCATGGCTTCACCAAGGGCAAGTCATGCCTGACAAATTTGCTGGCCTTCTACGAAGGGGTTATAGCGGCAGTGGACAAGGGAAGAACATCCGATGTCATCTACCGGGACTTGTGCAAAGTGTTCGACACCATCCCACACGATATCCTGGTCTCTAAATTGAAAAGACATGGATTCAACAAATGGATAAAGAACTGGCTGGACGGTCACACTCAAAGAGTTGCAGTCAATGGCTCGATGTCCAAGTGGAGAGAAGTGATGAGTGGTGTTCCTCAGGGGTTGGTACTGGGACCTGTACTGTTCAACATCTTTGTCGGCGACATGAACAGTGGGGTCGAGTGCACCCACAGCAAATTTGCCGATGATACCAAGCTGTTTGGCAACGTAGACACGCTGGAGGGGGGGGATGCCATCCAAGAGGGACCTGGACAGGCTGGAGAGGTGGGCCCAAGCCAACCTCATGAAGTTCAACAAGGCCAAGTGCAGGGTCTTACATCTGCAATCCCAAGCACAAATACAGGCTTGGCAGGGAATGGCTGAAGAGCAGCCCTGAGGAGGAGGAGGACCTGGGTGCACTGATTGACGAGAAGCTCAGCATGAGCCAGCAATGTGCAATCGCAGCCCAGAAGGCCAACCCTACTCTGGGCTGCATCAGAAGTGTGGCCAGCAGGTCAAAGGAGGTGATTCTGCCCCTCTACTCCACTCTTGTGAGACCCCACCTGTAGTGCTGCATCCAGCTCTGGAGTCCTCAACATAAGAAGGGCATGGACCTGCTGGAGCATGTCCAGAGGAGAGCCACAAGGATGATCCGAGGGCTGGAGCACCTCTCCTATGAGGAGAAGCTGAGAGAGTTGGAGCTGTTCAGCCTGGAGAAGAGAAGGCTCTGGGGAGATCTTATTGGGGCCTTCCAGTCCCTAAAGGGGGCCTACACGAGAGCTGGGAAAGGACTTTTTACTAGGGCATGTAGTGACAGGACGAGGGGCAATGGCTTTAAACTGGAAGAGGGCAGGTTTAGATTAAACATTAGGAAGAAGTTTTTCACTTTGAGGGTGGTGAGGCACTGGAAAAGATTGCCCAGAGGGGTTGTGGCTGCCCCATCCCTGGAGGTGCTCAAGGCCAGGCTGGACGTGGCCTTGGGCAACCTGGTCTAGTTGGAGGTGTCCCTGCATATGGCAGGGACGTTGGAACTCGATGATCTTCAAGGTCCCTTCCAACCTAAACCATTCTGTGTTTCCCCTGACTTGTCCCATGTGGTTTGATGGCTGCGTCCCACGTGGGACAATGGGGTGTGGGTGGCAGTGGTGTCCCGGACCTCGTGCTGCCACCTGGCCCTGTGAAGCCTTGTGGCCCGGAGGAGGGAGCAGGGAAGAGTGGAGCCCTCCTGCTGTGGTTGTTACCCTTCACGTTGGGGTGGGAAGGGGCATGTACAAGCAGCCTGGCTGTTAATATCCCCGTAGAAAATGTGGGAGGAGTATGGAAATCCTTTTGATAAGGGATATGAAGATTGTGCACGCGTTCAGCTCCTTCACCCTATTGTACTGTTTTGATCCCTTTTTTTAATAGAGTGCCACCAGACACGATACACAGAAGATCAATCTATGTTTTGTCCACTCTGTGAGCATAAAAGCTGTAGTGTGCTGTAGTGTTGGATCCATGTCATTCAGAAAATAAGCGTTCCAGCAAAAACTTGTGTCAGCGTCATCTGTTGTGGAGGGATGGGTCTGAGCCAGGTGCAGCCCCCCGGCACATCAAATCTTCCCCCTACTCTAGAGAGGTGGGCCGTATACACCCCATGGGCGATGGGACGGGCTATGAGGATGCGAGAACTGCTGAGTAAAGCAAGTGAGTGAAAGAAGAGAACCACCGAATGCTGCTGTAACTTATAGCTGCGCCTCTGCCCACTCTAATCGCCCGTGGGGAAAGGGGGCAACCTCGGAGAAGGTGCCTTGACGTGCCCGAGTCGCCGGGGTGTCTGTGGTCCCACAATCGTGCTTGTGCTTCCCTGTCCGCGGCGTAACCGGGGACGGACCCTGCTCCCCGCGGGGCCGGGCTGGCGGAACCCCCCACGATCAGGAAACAGCTTCTACCAGCGCCCGTCGCACACCGCCGTTTGACACGCGGGCCGGGTGCCGGTACCGAGCGGGCCGGGCTCTCCCGAGAGGCGGCAGGGAACGCCACGGGGCGGGGAGCGCTGCGGCCCCACGCCGGGCGGCGGCGCTGCGGTTGGGTCCCTCCGCCTCGGCGGGGCACTGCGGCGGCC